ACACAAATTTTTTTAAAGATAGTTATATGTTTTTATAACAATAATTGATTAGTATCATTATTTTGTGCATAAAAGATTATCAAAAACTGAATGTTTTACAAGATATTTTGTATTTTGTCAAAATGTTGAAACTTTCAAGTCATAACTCAAAAAGTTCTTAATTAAAAAATATTTGATTATTCTGGAAATAATAAGTTATAAAAATATGTAATAAAAAATAGGGTGTATACCATTTAAAAAAAATCAACGTGATATTCACATGACTTTCAAATGACTATTCAATCAGATCAAATCAGTGACATAATCTTATGTACACCTTGAAACTATACAACTTTTTTCTGAAACGTATTTTTCTAAAATGCTTTGTTTCTGATGGTATATGGGTGGTCTTAGACATCCCCCCGGTATATACATATAGGGTCAGGCATCTAAAACAGGCCACCCGAATAACTCGCTTGTTTTTGATAATACAAAATTTTTTAGGTGTACAAATTAGTTCGGTCCGTTTTTTGTGTTCAAAAATGCATTTATTTCAAAATAAAATAAATGAACAGATTAATTAAAGTATTGTCCTTCGCTGGCTACTACTTTTTCCCATCTCTCAGGCAATTTTCGAATTCCATCTCGAAAAAATGATTCGTCTTTGGAGGCGATCATCTTTTGGAAAACGGACCGAACTAATTTGTACTCCCCAATAGATAAAAGTGGAACGGTTTCGAAGGGGACGTGTTTTGTTCATAATGTTTTATGTCTAGAATTCTAGATGGAGATACCAAAAAGATACGAAAGTCACCTCCACTTTTTTAAATGGAATTACATAATCTTTTTTGCATAATATGATTGCCCTATATACAATTTGCACATAAAAGTGAAGGTACAGATATCAAAAAAATCAATACTTTCGAGATATTTTATACTTTAGTCTGACATGTAAAGAATTTGGCTTTAATTCTACAATTTTTATTAGTGAATTAATAAAACTATGTAATAATTGTATTTAATATATACATATAATTATAAATCCTAAATATTAGGAGACGCGGTAGTGTCTCCGGCCATGTTCAAAAACTAAGAGACACTACAAGTCTCTTATCCCGAGCCACCAAAGTCCATTTTTGGGGGGCGCATAACTACTAAAATATAAAAAATTTTGAATCGAACGTTATATGTCCTGAAAGGCGGCATCGCTACGAGTAATTTGAGCAAAAAAAAAAATTAAAATCGGTCAAGCCGTTCTAGACATACAAGCGGTCGAAGAATGGTGATTTTAATGAAAAATTAAGAAACGTCTCCTTCTTCTTCTTCTTCTTCTTCTCTGTCCGCATTCAAAATTTTTCAAACTGCCATTTAAACTTTTTAACATCCTCTCTCACCTTTCACTCGCACCTCCACCATCTTTGGCCCATAATATATTATATAGTTGAGATTTAATAAATCACTTTTATTGGCATTTCTGTGAACAAAATAATGAAATTCTATTAAAATTTCGCATCAACTGAAGTAAGACAGATATAATTTATTATCAGTTGATAATTTTTACAATAATTATAAATTCATCTAGTTATACATATATATAAATGAATTATGCAATTAAAGGGATGCTGGAGCTGCCTGTATTACCGATAAAACTAGTGTTTTTGATGTTTCCGTTCCTGTCTAATTTCTTCGTAATAGTTTCGCAGAATAAAAATTTCTTCTCCACGATTTAAATATTCAGGCTAACGTATCTGCCCCTGGTGTGTTTTGTGTTCAAAGCTAGAAAAAGTATAAAATCATAGATTGCCTTATCCATTTAACCTCAGTATGGCGACCAACGCTGAAGATAAAAATAAATAAAGAAATCTGTAATTTCATATTTTTTCCAGCTTTGGACACAATATATATAGATCAGGGACAGATACATTAGCATAAGTATTTCAATCGTAGAAAAGGAATTTTTATTCTGCGAAACTATTGTGAAGAAATTATGAAATTAGACAAGAACAAAAACGTCAAAAACGCTAGTTTTATCGATAATACAGGCAGGTTCAGCATCACCTTAAGGTATATCTTAAGGACGTTCTCTGAAAAATCAATTTTCTTTAGATTTTTCTGAAACTTACAGAAAAAGCTTGTTTTAGTGTTCTGAACATATGCTTTGAAGCTCAGTACTCGTTACGGGATTAAAAATCGAGATATTCCACTTCAAAGTTGAAACGTTTAACGTAGAATCCCTGTCTAAAGCTTATTCGAAAATGGTTTTTTATTCACTATAAAAAAAGTTTTCTTTAGAATTTTTTGAAACAAAGAGACATAAAACTTGATATTACAAGGAATAATATGAAATTTTCTTGAATATGCCTTCCGGTGTTCATTTTTAAGAAACCATTTAGCAAAGTAAGATAGCTCCGCTATGTTTTCGACCGACGGCAATAGCGAAAGCGAGAGGGAAACAACGAAACAAGTGAAAGAGCGCGAGTGGTAGTCAACTATTACTTTCTGTGTGTAGGGGCGATTGCGTGGACGCGAGTAAACTTTAGGTTGAGCACAACTGCAGTCGGAGAACGTCCTTAAGGCTTATAAACAGCCGCGATTAAATCTTTAAGTGCTTAATAATATTTTTACATTTTAAATACAATTTTTAATTTTGATAAATTGTTACAGTTTCATAATTAAATCTTTAATTTTGATAAATTGCTACAGTTTGATAATTATTGCAGTTGGAATTTTGATAGCTCAACGTATGCGATATACAGTGACGCAAAAATGTATTTCATTGCTTCATTTCGCTCACTTTACCTTCAGATGATAATCTGTATCGTATATGTCTACGTATGTCTTTTAATTATGGATTATAAAAAAATATTAATAATAAATAAATTATACAGTAAATCTGGAATTTATGCTAATGTATTCGTACAATATAATGTATAGATACGCAACAAAATTTTTCATCGAAATGTTGCCATTTTTCAAATGCGCATATAACTCGGTCAATTTTTATCGTATCAAGACAATTTTTTTTCATTTTGTAGGTAATTATCTGTACTTTAAGAAAAACTTGATACGAAATTAGTGCAAATCGATACCGCATCTCCATGTTTTGATAAAGCCCAAGCATTTTTTTCTTAAAAAATTTGATTGTTTGACGCGCTACCTGGATCGCCCCGATTTTTTATCAAAAATACCACTTACAATTAGACCATCGTAAAGTGTACTTTTCAACAAACAATTTGAAAAAAAATTCGAGTCTCTACGATTTTTTTTGACCGAGTAATGCCACTTTAAAGTTATTCAGGCGTTTTTTGCAAAGTCATATCTTGTTTATAATAGGAATATATACTTCATGTAGATCTAATGTGTCTGTTTGTAGGTTAAGACTGTTTTGCTGTTTTTTAACAGCAAAACAGACGCATTAGATCTACATGAAGCATATATTCCTATTATAAACAAGATATGACTTTGCATTACCAAAATCTTAAACATTATAATTTTGTACGTTGAGTTAGTTGGACGGTTATAAAAGTTTTATATTTCGAACGACTTGCATTTGCAATGTGTTAACAAAATAATTATTTTTATCGTCACCGAATTTTAATAAATGACTCTTTTAACGACATGGATTACTCGAGGGTGAGTTTTTTGTCAGAGGGACAATTGCTTGTCACATTATTTTATTAATATAACGTTAATTTTGTGTCCTTATTAGTACCACAGGGATACATCACAAACGATCTTCCAATCTCTTGATGAACTAAATTGTTCTCTCTATGGAAATACTCAACGTTTTAGAACATAACAATCCATCATAGTTTTATTCTTGTTTTTTCTGCGTTGACTAAAGATATTTTACTGCGTTAATTAATATTTATATGTACATCTGAGGATGGCTCGAATATGCAGCCGAAACGTTATGGTTTGACTTTTGTTTGCGTGCGCATTTATAGTGTGAATTTTAGTTTATTGTTATTTTATTTTAATTTATAATATATTAAATGTTTTATTAGTTCACACATATAATATTGACTCTTAATTACCTTTTTATTTCATTGACAATTATTAATTATACAACATGTTTTCTGTTAGATAGATATGACATAACAATCTTGATAAACTAACAACTTAAAAACATTGTTTATATATTATTTATTATATTATTGTTAATAAAATAATTAATAATGGACTCCTTATATATTTTAATAAAAACGAAGAAAATTTAATTTGGCTAAAAAAGAGTCAGCGCGGTAAGAAGTGCGCAAATTTGTAGAAAAAATTATTTAATAAAACAAAAGATATATAGTTACATCGATGTTTGGACGTTTCCGCTATTCATTTTAGCCATCCTCAACAATACATTAACATAAAATCTCCAACTATCCATCAGGAAGTACAATTATTATTGACCAAAGAAGTTTCCATGCTTGTTGGTAACAAAATTATGTTATCAAGCGGATCCAAGGAACACAAAAGATACATAGTCACTTAATATTAATTTTCAATAATAATTATTGTTACTTTAATATTTTATTATTATTTTATTAATAGACTATTGTAATTTATGTGAAACTTTATAAGATATAGAGATTTATAAAAAAAATTAAACATATATAATTCTTTTATTAATTGTGCATGTTCCATATCCAACTGTGTAGGTTGTTGTTGTTCGAAGTATTATGTTGGACTTAATTAATGTGTGTGTGTGTGTGTGTGTGTGTGTGAGTGTGTGTGTGTGTGTGTGTGTGTGCGCGTGCGCGTGTGTAAATTGTATATACTATATTTAGCACTTAACGATTCGAGTGCGTTGTTTAAAAATTTAGCCTCAATGCAATGTTTTGATAATGTTTTAATTAAAAAGTATTGGCGCGAATACCTGCACGATAATAAATGATTATAATAAATGATGATTTAAGCAATATTGACGACCGAAGAGCATCGTATCTATCCGATGATAAACTTTAAGCGTCAATGTTACTTATCTTAGGCTTGTCGTCAATTCCGTCAGTTACGCTCGAGCGTGGATAGCGAATTAAGCTCTTAGAAGAGTGCAATTCAAGTACGACGAAAATATAAAAACCTTGGTCGAAAATGTGGTCATTAATGTTCGTGACAATCTTGGCATCTAGTAGCGTTATGTCGGAGACAATTAACCTACCAAATAACGTATGTTAAATACAACTGTTTCTGTTATATAACCTTCATATTTAATCATGTATATTTATTTATCAACTCTATAATTTTAAGCTATATACTACATATTTCCTCTAAAATATATAATATAAAAGACCTTTTTTTGCTTTTTATGTTCATTTTAAACTTCAAATTAATCCATTGATTAATATATTTAAAATAAAATAATCCTTATATATTAAAAGTCTTATTTATTATATACTTCCATTCGGTTTTTAATAAACTATTACATTTATATTTTAATTTCCCGGAATTAAGAAAATCAGAATAGTGATATTAATCATATTAATAACAAATTAAAATTAAGTACAATATATTTTTATCTAAATTTATACAAAAATACAAGCACATGATACACATGTGCACAGATGCACGTAAACGGACAAGCTATATAAGTGCAGTAAATTAATACTGATTGCTCAAACGGAATTAACGATGGCAATAACAGCTTTAAGAAAAAGTGGAAAATTTAATAAAAATTTTTTAATTTTAGAAAAATAATATATAAATGAGTTCAAAGCTGAACGTAATTATAACTTTTATGACTCTTTATTCTTTACTCCGTTTATATTGTTTTTAATTAAATTGAAATGTGTATTTTGTATTTTTTTATATTACTGATGAAGATTACATATAAAGTTAAAACTAGTTTTATTTATCTGTAATATGCATTAAATATTAATTTTAATAAATGTTATATAACATCTTAATTTATTTGCTCGTCTCTCTCTCTCTTCTCTCTTTTTGGTCGGTTTTTTATTATATTTTGTATTGTTTGTGTATTTCAATAACGAGCAGGGGTTAATTATTATTGTTTATTAATGAGATTCGATATTTTTCTTCAGGTCAGTTGGTTACTTTTTTAAACTATAGCTACAAAATACCACATTAATCAAAAATCTTAAAATTGTTATTCTGTTTTAATTGAAATAGAGGAATAATGTGTATTGAGAATATTACATTTGATTTAAAAAATAAAATATAACAAAGTTCATGCATGATGTATGTATATACGTTTACGTAAAAAACATAAATCTTTGAATACAAGTCATAAAGCAATCCTAAAGGTAGATTGATTCTACTGATGACCTCGATCTCGTATCATATTTATAACGTTGGTTGAATGCAACTAAAATGTTACTTGAATTAAAAGTCTTTTAAAAGTATTTGACATAGGCATATAAATAAATTCATATTTAAAACGTATTAAATTTTTATCATAATTATACAATAATCTTTTTAATTAAAAAAATTATTTATACAGTTTAATTAAAATTTTTAATAGTGTTTAAACATATGCATTTAAATTATATGTAACATAGGATGTTTCGATAAAAAATAAAAAGTTCCTACATACAATACAACTACATATACACCTATTTACATGTATGTATATATTTAAGGTTATTCACATTTATTGCGAGAAGCGTAATAGAAAGATATTCATTGACTCATGATATTCTGCTGCATTACATGTTTCTATGAAAACGTATTTATCTTTACGATTAACTTATCGGAGTCATAAAGGCCACAAAAAACTTAAGGCAGTAAGACGTAAGCAGTAAGGAAATCAACATGTTGGATTGGCTACTGCTTACGTTATTACTTTACGGACTCTACTGTGATTGGTCGATTCGCTTACTACTTACGTTTTATTGCTCCAGTTTTTTTGTGTGCCATGGCCTTAATAATGGCATTGGTCTGGATTAAATTAGAAGACAAGAAAGAAATAGAGAATTAATTGACTATACAAAATAACAAAGTTTAAATGATATTTTAGGTATAATTTGATCAGTAAAGATGTAACGAAAATTATTAATTTATGATACATAAAAAACCTGTGTCAATAGTTAGAAATCATGTACTGCACTTGTAGCATACAGTAGAATATACATGTATGCCATGTCTATATAAATTATAAAAATGTATAGTATTAATTAAGTCGTGAAAAAATATCTTAAAAAAATATATATATACACTATATAAAAAAATTAAGGGATCAAGATCTATTCTTCTTTTGAAAATAGATAATTTTTAAGAAAACTTTATACAAAATGATCATAATAAGATAGGTAATATAAAAAGCATTTAGAGCTTGAATTAATTGTTTATATTTTGCAATTTAAATAACGATTTGATTGATTTTTTACGTAGCTAAATATAAATAATAATGGAGATTCAAATCTGACAATTTTTTTATGTATCTTACAAACATGATTTTCCATAGCGTGAATTAAAAATTGCATACAAAAGCAGTTCATAATTTTTAAAAGAGTCTTTATCTGCGATTTGTGTAGATAAAGATGTTGAGCGTTGTATCTATAATTATTCATTTAATTGTTTAACGTTGAAGCGAAAAACGTATTTTCTTTACTGTTCACAGAAGACGCACACTTGATATTGTTTAAAATACGATAGAAAGGCATAAGTTTTCTTTTTAAGACGTTTCTATCATATTTATTTTATATAAAGGAACTTTTTGTACATAAAATATGATGCTAAAAATTAAACAATTAATCAATACATTTATCATTCAACTTGATATATATGTTGAATGATAAATTGCGATAAAAAATGTTAAGGATAAATGTTAAAGAAAAATGTTAAGATATTGTGATCTTAATGTAATTTATGTTGTTCGCGTATTCGAAGCAATGACTTTGGGTAAAACAATGTTCGCTTTATTCTACCAAAACAGAACCGTCGCATGTATCATGTGAAAGTTGCACGGTCGGATTTACGCTTGTTTATATATTATCCATATATAAAGTGTATATGATTTTAACGACCCATAATAGGTTTGTTTAAAAGAAAAATTTCTATTTCTATTTCTATTTCTATTTTTTAAAAACTATCGAACGCTACTCGTCTTGTATTAAAGTCAAAAAGATACTTTTTGTTTCAATTTTAAATAACTCAGTAAAAAAATCATATAAGGCTCACAAGTACGTAAATTAAAGATGAAGATTCACTCTTTTGAAAGCGGTAAACTGCTTTTGTGTAATTGATGCCATTGAACTTTGCAAAATTCGTAAAAAAATTTTCAGATTTGACAGATCTCTATTTATATTTGTATAGCTCTCTATAAAAAAATCAGATTGTTATTTAAATGATCAATTTTGAAAAGTAGAGATTTCAATTTTAAAATGATTTTTAGATCATTTCATTATGATTATTTTTTATGAGAAAATTATCTTTAAAATTATCTGTTTTTGAAGATTAGAATAAGTGATTCTTAATTTTTTGACGTAGTGTGATAAATGAGCCCAAAAAGAGTATCTCGAATACAGTGTGCGGGGGGGGGGGGCTGTAGAAATCAGTTTTTTAAATGTTCTTTTTTATACTAATGACGCATTTGGTAAGTGTAAACAAAAAAAAATTCGTTTAAAACGTTAAATAAAAATATAATTAATGTTGATTTATATAACATTTTGTACATCAATTTGATCACATTAGTTGCCAATAAGCTTAAGCCTCTACATTGCATCAAGGTTGTAATCATTGTAGTGGTTTTTTTGTATACTTTTTTATTTTAATTTTCGAATTTTTTTAAGTTTTTTAATTTTTAATTTTTTAATTGTTTAATTTTTTTTGTATTTTTAAAATTTTTTATTTAATTTGAAAAAGTTTTCTGGAAAATTTCAGATCTCTAAATTTAATAGCAAAAAGGTTATGATAATTTAAATACATGTCATTGCAATGTTGCGTCAGACACGTTTCGCTGATGCTGCATATAAATTGTCATAATTTTTTTACTATTACATTTAAAGATTTAAAATTTTTCAAAAAACTTTTTCAAATATTTAACTACAGTGTAGCATTAATGAAAATTTTTAATTCGAAAATTCGTAACATAACTTTAACGTTTAAAAAAGAAATTCACCAAGCTCGACAAAATATCATTAAAAATCCGCCATTTTGTTGTAAAGTGCTTCGAAATTTTCGGAATAGTTTTACAAGTCACAGAATATGTTAAAGATTATAGTGTAAAAATTTGAATAATAAATATTAATATCCGGCTGAGATTTCGCAAGTTGAAGTGCTGCCGTTTTCCCAACGCCACTTTTTGTACTAGCAACAACATATTTTTCCGTGTAATTTATCGAATTTTTGTTTACGTGCCAAATACAAAAGAAAATCAACAAGTATATTTTTAATACATAATAAACGATATTTTTGCAACTAAATTAAATATAAGAACTATCCGAACAGGATTTAATTTCCTTTTTCGAAACAAATTGATATTTACGACTCAACAATTTTTTACACATTCTTATAAAATTATTGAAATTATTCAGAATTTCAGGGGGGAGTGCTGTGGGGGCTACAGCCTCCCTTAACTACGCCACTGCTCAAGTATACATATAATTGTAATTTTGTAATACAAATATAATAAAATATTGTACAACAGTGATTGGACTAAACGACATTTTAAAAACTATTAATGGATCGTATTATTATTTTTTTATCAAATTATTATAAGTAGCAGAAATTTAGAATAATTAATTGCAGGTATGGCGATACGGTTTTGATGTTGATTATGATAATAATCAGTTTTTATTGGATGGGAAACCCTTTCGGTACATTTCTGGTAGTTTTCATTATTTTCGAACGCCTAGACAATATTGGAGAGATCGTTTAAGAAAAATGCGAGCTGCGGGACTTAATGCTATCTCCACGTAAGTTGAATTTCGTAATTTCGCAATTTGAATGATTTAAATACAAGGAAATCATCATCGTCAGGGAGTTAAACATATCTGTATGTAATAGATTTTTTGTTTGTTTATTAAATTTAAAATAATATGTCTCGAAATAATGAATAAATAATAACGACATATAGTAATTTGCCTTTTGTCTGCCTTCGTGAGGTATATATATATGTTTATATAGTTATGTTATACGTTTATTTATTACGTATATATATATAGCAATGTATATATATAGTTACGTTGAATGGAGTCTTCATGAACCAGAACTAGGTCAATTTAACTGGAACGGCGATGCAGATCTAGTAAATTTCTTAAATATTGCGCAAGAAGAAGACTTGTTTGTATTATTGCGACCGGGTCCTTATATCTGCGCAGAAAGAGACATGGTAAATACATATATACATCAAATGTTAGTACGAAGTCATTAGAATAAATTATTATGTCCTTATAACTTGTCCTTTCACATCTTAGATTTACTTAAACTTAAAAATTCATCTTTTTACTTTCTTCTTAATTCCTATAAATGCTATTCAAAAAACTTATTTTACACAATTTTGATAATTCTAACATATCTGCTTTTAGGGTGGTTTACCGTATTGGTTGCTTCGCGAAGCACCAAATATAAAGTTGCGTACAAAAGATGCAGGTAAGATACAATTTGTTTCACTTAAATTGTGCATTTGTATAAAAACATGTTTTAAGCTTTGAAAAACTTGATATATGTTGTCAAAGTCACGATCCTGAGTGACCTCTAACAGATTTTACTTGCTCTTTGTTAAAAAGTTATGAATAAAAAAGTTTAAGACATAATGTCTTATTTTTGCTATATGAATTATAAGCTAAATGTTATAAGGAAAGTCGCACGACTTCCATGACTATACTGTTGCACATGGGTGTTGATTTTCCACGCGAAGCGAAAACTACCTCATACCAACAAATGGGTTGAGTTAGATTTTTTTCAAGTAGATTACTTTTTTTAGTAGTGGTGCCCCTTGTAGGGGGAGGTGGAACCTACTATTCACGCGAAGTGACTCTCACCCCATCTCTCCCCTCTTGCGAAGAAATTCTGTTTTTTATCTCACCTCCTTATTTTTTAAATAATCATAAAAACAGCTTCTTTCGGAAATAATTTTTTTATTCATCTTTTCTGACTAAACAAAAAATGATATCGTGATCTGTTTTACGGCATTTAACTCAGTAATGTTCCAACAATACTAAAAATATTTTTTACGATTTTTTTCTCTCGAATTATTTATAGGTTTTATATTTAAAAATTTGTCATTTTTTCTGATTTTTACAATCTTTTTTAAAGTTGTTTGCAGTTCGCATAAAACATTTTTATAAGCATTAAAAAAACACTTTTGGTATTGTTGGAACATTTCTGAGTTAAATACCGCAAAACAAACCACGATATTATTTTTTGTTCAACTGAAAAGAATTAATAAAGATTGACTCTCAAAAAGACTGTTTTTGCGATTATTTAAAAAATGAGGGTAATGGAAAAAAACGGACAATGTAATCATTTTTAGCGCATCAAAATCCTATACGGAAACGTTTTTTTAAATTCAAAGCATAAGACTCCCCTTTAAATTTTATTGGCCTGTGTATTTTATATTTACTACAATTATAAAATAATTTATTCAATTATGTATTTTCACATAATGTAATTTCACATAATATAAAAATGTATAGTTGCTATCACTATACTTCTCTCTGTGATAATAAGTGTAGATATATTGATAAAATTTGCAATATTATAACACTAAATTATGAAATCAGACTTTATTGTTTTTCTGTTTTATAGAAATTTTTCTATTTCTACAGATTTTGTAAGATATGCCACATTGTATCTAAATCAAGTATTGAATAAAATACAGCCATTTTTAAGAGGTAATGGGGGACCGATAATAATGGTTCAGGTAATATTTACTTACTAGATGAAGAAGTGGTATTATGATTAACTATACCTTACATTCACTTATTTTTTGTAATATCTATGGAATTTTCCGAGACAGTATTGTTCTATACAATGTTATTGTTATTCTATGCTAACACTCTTAGATATTAGATTAATATTAATTAAAGTTAAAAATGATTTATTTCGTTTATAATTAATATTACCTACAACTGATAATTACGAAAGCAATTTGAAAAAACGTTAAAAATTAACGTAGATATACATTTAAATATTTTTACTTCAATATGTCATCAATATGTTGTCAATTTCTTAATATTTAATTATAATACATCGTCTTATTTTCATTATTGTCACCTGTCATCCTAATATCAATTGCGTTAATAGATAGAAAACGAATATGGAAGTTACTATGCTTGTGATACCGAGTACATGGACATGTTAAAAGAAGTTTTTATTAAAAAAATTGGCAATAAAGCTCTTTTATATACAACCGACGGTGCAACCACGGCTTTTCTCCGATGCGGATTCATATCTGGAGTGTACACCACCGTCGACTTTGGAACGAGCAGCAACGTGACCAACAGTTTTCTGTCTTTGCGTCTTTATCAACCAAGAGTAAGCGATATTGTTGTTTAAGAAATCACGAATTATGTAGTAATAAAATTATGATATTTTGATTGAATTTGCAAATTGATTTGTAGGGACCGTTGGTGAATTCTGAATTCTATCCAGGTTGGTTAACGCATTGGGGAGAAGCCTTTCAGAGGGTAAAAACTGAAGCTATTGTAAAATCGTTGAAAGAAATGCTTGCTCTAGGTGCTTCCGTTAACTTTTACATGTTTTATGGGGGTACAAACTTTGGTTTCACTTCTGGTTAGTAAACTTTTTTTATAGTTATGCGAATTGACAAGTAAAAATAATATTTAGAGCAATTAATAATAATTACATCGATTATATGTACTTTATTCAACGTAATGATCATCAACAGGAGCTAATGGTGGGGAAGATGCATACATTCCACAATTGACTTCGTACGATTATGATGCTCCTTTGACCGAAGCCGGAGATCCGACAACTAAATACTTTGCTATAAGAGATGTTATTGGTCGCGTACGTTTTCTTTGTAATAATACGCTGATGTATTTTCTCTTTGATATTTCATGTTTTACAAAAAGATTATTCTTTATGAAATGCTGGAAACGGCAATGCATAATTCCTATCTTTTTTGAATAAGTTAATTAACGTGTGTGTGCTTTGAAATTACAGTATTTGCCATTGCCAAACATGTCCCTCCCGATTGTATCTCTAAAAGGTAATTACGGTCCAGTATTATTGGAACCGGTAATGAAATTGCTCGATAGTCGATCTCCATTCGTGGTGGTCCAGGCAAGTGAAGACCAGCCTAAAACTTTCGAGGCTCTTTCTGTGAATCAAGGATTTGTTCTTTACGAGACGAATTTGCCACCTTCTATCTCAGATCTGGCTGATTCGGCTATACTGCGAGCGACAACAAAGGACAGAGCGCTGGTTTATGTAGATAATCGACTACGCGGCACTCTAAGTCGCACAGATAAGATATTTACTATACCACTAGAAAGTCCTTACGGCCGCCGTTTAAGTCTATTGGTGGAGAATCAAGGACGTTTGAATTTTGGAGATGAAATTAACGATTTCAAGGTATCGAGAAAATTATTAAAAGTTAAAATCGAAAAATATGCGCACACGACCGCAGTAACAATATTTTTGAAGTATTTGTTATTTATATGTATATGTATTGCATACGTACATGATAATGTATTAATTTACATTGATTCAATGAATGAGCAAGTGATATTTTAGCATTAATTAAACATATGTATATGTGAATTCTACGATATTTGAGTTCTTTTTATATCTGATTGCATCTCAGGGGATCTCGGATGTAACTATTAGTGGTACACCGTTAACCAATTGGAATATGACAGGGTACGCATTTTCCAACGTATCCTTTCCCCGGAACATAACAACCATACGCATTGACAGCGGGACTTTGAACGATGGACCAACATTTCTACGTGGACAATTCACGATCATCGGACAACCGTTGGATACATTTCTAGATACTACCGGTTGGGGAAAAGGAGTTGCTTTTGTAAACGGTCATAATCTTGGGAGATACTGGCCGTCAGTAGGTCCGCAAATAACCTTGTACGTACCAGCTCCTTATCTTTACGCAGGCGAGAATGAGTTAATCATATTGGAATTGGAATATGTGTCGCAATCGAGAAAGATGAAATTTCAACCCGTACCGAATTTGGGTACATTATAAATTTAACTCATAACTTAGGACTTTGGTAGAAATATTGCACTATGTATGCTTCTTGCTTAATTTTAATACAATATAATGAAATATTTCGAAATATCGCATTTCTAAATTTGTTCTATAATATAAATAGTTTATCCTTTTCTAGCCAGCACATTTATCTTCATACGTCGCGACTTACACACCTTCTCTCTCTTTCAAGTTATTTATTGTTAAAACAACTCTTCTAAAGAATTTTAAAAAATAAAATAAATAAGAATTGATATTGTTCAAAAAAATAAATTAAAAATAAAGAGTTAATTAAAAACAATGCATAAAAAAATATAAGGAGTTAGCGAGACATTTTCAAACGTAGTTAACGAAAAAGAGTGGGAAAACAAATCTATCCGCTATTTTTTTCCGCTATCTATCTCATATCCTTTCCTTTGTTGTTCCTTTAACAGAAGGAACTAATGCTAATGTGATTTTATAAATTATAATATAACATATATAAATATATAAAATTTTATTAACTTTTAGACATGTCAATTATTCAACTACAATAAAGAATGATTCTTATGCGCGTATTAATAGTCGGGCCTTATATTTAAGGAAGCTCAGTAGTTAATAAAATAATTCGTAGAGTGTGAAGATTTTAAGGAAGCCTTAAATATAAAGTCTGATTGTGAGTAGGGACTACATATACTATGAATACAGGTATTAATTTTAATTTTATCGTAAGTAAACAATATTTGTACTTAAGGATGTATTACACGTATTTTTTAACAGAATGAACAAATTATGAAAAAATTACTAATTTTTCTATATTATATGTATTTGAAAGTGATACGAAAAGTTTCACAACAATTTATACCTGGATCAAAAAAATTAGTTCAATAATCCATGTTTTAAAAAATAATTAAGAAAAAATAAGAAAATTTTTATTTAAATTGTAAAACTATATTGTTCAATGTAAATATGATCTTATAATGAGAATTGTTTGTTATACGAGAAAAATAAAAATGTGGGTTCTGTTCTTTATTACCTAAAATATATTTGTGATATGTTGATAATCGTGATACACAAATAAATTTTTTTAAATGTAAATAATACGTTTTAAAAAGTAAGCGTTTTATTTATTAAAAATAGACATTTCTTTTTATAAATAGAGTATCATACTCCATTCATAAATCGATGATATTTCGCGAAAAAATATTCTACGATGAAATATGGACAGAATGTATTGTATATCTCATGACAAGATATTTTGTTTCCTTGAAGAAAAATCTTATAACATTAAAATTGTAGCATTATTAATTTGAAAAAAAAACTTGGAATTTATATTAATAGAGAGAGAGAGGTTTGTTAAAAGTTTTATTGTTTTGAGAATACATTATCCGAATACTTAAGCTGAAAAAAGATTCAAGAACATTTAGCGACAGTTTACGGAAAAATCGATCAGTTTCGATAATACTACACCGCTACACAGCAAAAATATACACATTGTCGTCTATGGTCGATGAAGAACCGATTTGTAAAGATCCTGCGGGACATTCAATAGCTTTAATATCCTCTCCGTTGACAAATGAGGGTTTCGCACGGCAGGACGTCCGATGGCCCGATGCCACACGAATTATCTCACCTCCTCTTTCATGCCGATGCTTCCGTAGGCGAATACCATAGATAATAATGAGTACGATGACAAAGCACTATCAGCTGTATCTGATTCATAAGCTTTATACATATAATAGTCTGTCTCATACTCTAATGATATATATGTAACATATTTTTATACGGTACGGTGTGGTACAAATCTATAAACAAATGGATTTTAAGAATCACGCAGACAATGTTATAAATATAAATTTAACGAAAAATATTTTCATTGGACGCGAATTAGAAACAGAAGATCGATTATGGAACTATCTCTTTTTGCAAGTCAGTTGACTAAGATTTATGGCATTTTAGATTTAAATCGCTATTTATGCATATATCATTTACGCTATTAACAAAATATAATACGGTGGATAAAATTATAGAATAGTCGTTTTTTCTTTGAGAATTTTATAGTTTACAGAGAGAGACTTTATGTAAAATCAAATTTTTTATTTATTATAATTGTTAAAATCAAATTTTATATCACATAGATATGTCTTATATCATAGATATCTATATAACTTTAAAAAGTTCTGAAGTTACATAAAAAGTTATTCTAAATATAATCTGACCTCTAATATCAGAATATACTATAATTGTTATCATGTGCTAAATGTATAATTTTTTATAAGAGAAAATAATATTAAACGAGTTTAAAAATTTATGTGTCCTTATCTTACTGCGCTATTTGCGAAACTTATATTGTGTCCCCTTATTGTAGGTAATGATTAGTACAAGACGGCAGCAATAGTATAATGCGACGATATTATCTCAGAAATTAGAAGTTATGCTGGATCACATATTAACAAAATTAATTACAGAATGTTTAATCATATATTTAAACAATTCTGGCATGCAATTTTGATTTACTTATACAACCTTGTGCAAAAGTATTAGGCACCTTATAACTATCAAGTTATTTTAAATTGTGGTAAAGGCAGATAAAAATAAAACTATACATACTTTTAATTAGTCAATATTTATTGCTTTTATCAGTATTTAAGAGGTCTACCCTTAGCTTTAGTCCTCGCGAACATTTAACTCTTTGGGCTATTTCAACTTGAGATTGCCTTATCTGTGTAAAAGTTGAATCGGCGTTATTTAGAAAAGAACTCAACTTTCAAAAATATGAACAGTAAAATATGAAACTGACGCATATATTTCACCGACAACAGAATAATACTTCATTAGAAAAATACAAATATTCTTAATTGATGTCCACTAGTCATTTATTACATTATTGAAACCATATCTGTGTTTACATTTTAGAGTAAACATCTAACGAATCATTGATAAAAGAATAAATTCTAAGAACGCATGTCGAATATACACTATAATAATAAGGATGCCTGATACTTTTACATAATGCTGTATAATCTTAAGATTTTGTGCTAGGTTTATACGGTCGATGTTGATGTCAAACTTTTGAGATAAAAAGAATTTTCATCTTTTAAACGGAATTTTGTATGTGATGGCCAGAGTAGCATACGGATTATATTCTCTTTAATTTAATGTAACATTTTTCTATTATCTTATTGGCAATTTATAACAAGAATAATGTTTAATAATAAACAAGGAGTTCTGAGACATACCTATTACACAAGCAATTGTAAAGCATTTTACGGTGATCAAACTCCGCCCTTTATGAAAACTCCGCGCGCCGCCTTCGACATGCGCCGAAGAGTCTTTTGCGGTTGCATCGTTTCTTACTTTTAATCACGCGTTTAATCTGGTCCGAAATAGTACATAAATACTACTCGTGTGAAGAATTGTGTAATTTGATATATTACGTCAAACTTATTTATTTATCCTAAATTCAGTTGCTTATTGAAATTGAATGGTGTATTCTTGAAAATTGACAAGTCATCGATAACAGCAAATTACCGTAATGTTCGGTAAGTGTACAACGTAAATTGAGATACAAATTCGTTAATACAGTTTAAATTATGACAGTATGCAAAAATATGTTTTAAATAGATAATAAATTAATACATATACTTTAAAATAATATCTTTGTATTTTTTGGAAACTACGTATTTTTGTGTGTGACAATATTTCTTGTCTTATTAACTATTAAAATAGTGTTGGGATTTTTAATGAAATCGTGATATTTACATTTTTCACAAGCTATATCATATTTAAAAGCATTATCGTATAGATTAATTGTTCTTTCATTTTCATGAAAAAAAAAATTACATTATATTAAACATGTTGTAATCATATAGTTATAATAAAAGGTACTCATATCTAATCTAGTTTATCTATAACATATCTAAGCTTTGCGATTTTCTTAATTTTTTGTTGCGCTAAAATTGAAAACTAATGATCAGATTCAAAAAAGGAATATTGAGAAATATTGAGTAAACATTAATTAAAAATTTGGGAAATATAATTTTCAAATATTTACATAAGTATAACAGTGAAGAGTTTAAGAAAAAGCAATAAAGTCATATTGAGTACATGTGTGTCTAGCATGGCTTAACCCCAGTGAGAAATGACAATGGAATTGATTTGATGATTTTGACGTCGAACTGATATCAATTCGATGTCGATTCCGTTGTCATTTTTCTTTCGAAAGTATATTTTTCTATTTTTTATTTAAAAAATAAAAAATGGAAGATAAATGATTAAATTAAGCAATTAATTGATATGAACAAGTCACATGGCTTAAACACACTATTTACTTATTTTATTAAATTTATCATGTAATTGTTTATAAATGAGTAGATTTATATGTTACATTATTGAGACAGCATTAAAGACATTATATATATATATCATATAACTGAATAAATATATGTTAATGCAATAGTATGGAACGTAACGCAGAATGCACCCTTGGACCTGAGCAGACATGGGACTGCATGGAAAACTAATGTTACTAATACTTTCAAATTTCAACGACGTCTTCCCTGTCAAACTTGCGGTAAAAGTTTTGACAGACCTTCTCTTTTAAAAAGACACTTGCGAACGCATACAGGTAAATTAGAGATTTCTTTAATCCTCCTCGTATTCATTATCTACTCTCGTCCCGACAGACTTTTTCATATTTCTGAAGATATTATAAAATTGCGCTTAAAAGGAGTTTTTTTTTTATAATGCAAAATCTAAGACATATAATAGATTCTCTACTATGTATTTTGAGAGAAAAGAGGACAATGTAGAAGCCTGAAGAAAAGCTGATATCTGAATTTGATAATGTTTTAGAATGTCTATTGTGCGAAAACTTTTCAGATATACTATATATTGTACACAAATACATGTAAACTGTAAAAAAACGTAGACAAGTTTTCAAAAATACAAATTTTAAAGAGAAAAGATAGAACTTTATTTCTGTGTTTCAGCGCGTTCTCTCTCTCTCTCTCTCTCTCTCTCTCTCTCTCTCTCTCTCTCTCTCTCTCTTCACGATATTCTTTC